CCATGCCTTGTTGATATTGTTATTTGATTTATGTTTATTATTTGCCTTGAGAAGAAGCAAGATTGAGTTTGCTTATTAAATGTCTTGAAAAGAGTTGAAATTGAGGAATTTGAGATTTTAAAATTTTTCATTTGAACTTCATATTTTCGAAGAGAATTGAAGAATATTATAATAACTTAAGAAATCTATGTGTAACCGCATTGCAATTATATTCCGCGAACGGGGTAAATTTACTACTCTCATGGGAGCGGGCCATTTGCCTCGACAAATATTGATAGATGCATCTATGGTTCGTGTCGTTCGACCCTTGGCAGTGTACAGTTTATATTTATAAGTTGGATCAGGCCGTACGACCTCGGCATGATTTGCGCCTGACTGAATTAATTGCTTTGTAATTTACAATAATTGATATTGTCTCTTTGGCCTAAGATAAATTATTAAATGATGAGAAATAAATTTAGAGATTTCTTAATTATAAAAGAATTGCTTACTTACTTCATAATATTGAGCTTACAGTCGTTCTATGCAACCCATGCTTAAATTATATCATTGGCATTTTATTTATAGCCCATAGTAAGTGTCGGAATCGACCCCTCGTCACTACTTCTTCGAGGTTAGACATGATACTTACTGGGTACGCGTTATTTTCGTACTCATACTACAATTTGTGTACATGCACATATATATTTAGTGGCCTTGTGGGCGCAGCGGCGTGCTTAATATGGGGACGTAGGTAGGCTGCATTCCATATTACGACCCGCAGCCAGCAGAGTCTCCTTCAGAGTATTTATATTTTCTTTCCTATCCAGATTTGGGAATGCTGTATTTTATTTTATTTCTTAGTTAATGCTCATGCACTTATGAAACCGGGTTCTGGGGTGATTATTGTTATTCAGTATTGAGATTGTTAAATACAATATTATTTACTCTGTTCCATCTCCTACTATTTAATGAAGGAAAACTATGATTTCAAAATATTAAAATGAGAACCAAATTAAATTATTTATTCTTGGCTTGCCTGAAACGGTGTCCGGCGCCATCACGACTTTTAATGGATTTTGGGTCGTGATAGAAAGCATGATGGAGGGAGATTTAAGTCATGCCTCTGGAAAGCTCCCTATGATGCAAGATAAAGGAGACTCGTCTACAAGGAAAACGACTCCTAAAGAACTTCAGATTTCATCGATAGGGTTGTTCCCATTGACCAATTGAAAGACTTCATCATGGGAACCATCAAAGATAAGTACGATGTCGCTGCCAAGTCTTCTCTCGCATATGCGAAGCCATACACTGCGAGAATTAATAGTTTCAAGATGCCTGCAGGTTATCAACCCCTAAAATTTCAACAATTTGATGGTAAAGGAAATCCAAAGCAACACATTACCCACTTCGTCGAAACTTGTAATAATGCGGGAACCTATGGAGATTATCTTGTCAAGCAGTTTGTCTATTCCTTAAAAGGAAATGCTTTTGATTGGTACACTGATCACGAGGCTGGTTTTATTGATAGCTGGGAGTAACTTGAACATGAATTTCTCAATCGCTTCTATAGCACAAGGCGCACTATAAGTATGGTTGAACTCACAAACATGCGTCAATGAAATGATGAACCGATCGTGGATTTCATCAATCGATGGAGAAATGCGAGCCTCAGCTGTAAAGACAGACTTAGTGAAGCTTTTGGAATAGAAATGTGTATCTAAGGAATGCATTGGGGACTTCGATACATCCTATAGGGTATCAAGCCTAAGTCTTTTGAAGAATTGGCTACACGTGATCATGATATGGAGTTAAGCATGTCTTCAAGTGGAAATCAAGGGCCACCTGTTTATGAACCTCGCAAAGTGAAGGATAAACAAGAAATAAAGAAAGGAGCCAAGTTTGTGCCAAAGTCTGAGAGCAAGGAATCAATGAATGTTAATGCCTCTCCATTAAAGGTCACTATAAAAGTGAGTAAGAAGCAAAGTATGAAGACAACGTCCTTGAAGATGAAGGAAATACAAGCGAAAGAATATCGATTCTTGGACTCTGATGTTGCAACAATTTTTGAAGAACTCCTTGAGTTGAAACTCATTGAGTTACCTGAAATGAAGCGGCCAGACGAAGTTGGAGGGACTAATGATCCAAATTATTTCAAGTACCATCGGTTGATTGTCCACCCTATTGAAAAATGATTTATCTTCAAGGAGAAAGTCATAGACTTGGCCGCCGAAGGAAAAATCTTGCTTGAGGATGAGAAGGAAAGTTTGAATCAAGTCTCTGTCGTGTTTGGTTCACTTGATCCCGTTGTCCTTTGCAATTTTTTCAAAGTACATGAATGTGGTGGCGTCCAAACTACATCATCACCAAATATGATTAAATTTGGTGACTTTGAATCTATCAATGTGAGCAAACCATTGCTTCTCTCTATAGTGAATGAAGTAACAGTGGAGGAAAGATCTCAAGAGGAAAGTGAATCACATGATGGTCAAACTGATGATGAGGGTTGGAATCTTGTGACTCGGCGGAGACGTTGCATGACAAATTCACAAAGGGTGTCAAATAAGCAATCGACTAGGGGAAAATGGTGAAAAGACACAAGAAGAAAATGATAAAGAAGAATTGGAAGAAAACAAAAAAAGGAGGAGAATCACCAACAAAGGCTGTGTCGTCCAGTGACATTGGATGAATTCCTTCCAAGCTGGTTACTCCCGCAAGCTTCCTGTGAATATATTAAGGCCTCATGTTGTAAGGTAGATGAAGAAGAGACAAAGAAGGAAGATCCATCATTGCTGCCACCTCCTTGTCTGGAAAACTCACTGAGAATTATGAAGAAGTGGATATTTGTGATGCAAAAATCACATTTACTAATGATGATCTTTTTCTTGGTGAAACACACCATAATCGTCCCCTATTTATGGTTGGCTTTGTGCGGGAACAGAGAATAAGTAGAATTTTGATCGATGATGGATCTGGCATCAATATTCTCCTAATTCGTACTGTCAAAGAACTTGGCATACCGATGGATGAAATATGTGAAAGTCGTTTGATGATTCAAGGCTTCAATCAAGGGGGCTAAGAGCTATAGGGCCCATCAAATTAGAAATCAATATGGGAGGTATGCGTTCGAGTACATGGATGCACATGATTGATGCAAAGACCTCATAGAATATCTTGTTACGAAGGCCATGGATATACGAGAACAAAGTGGATTCATCCACCTACCACCAATGCTTGAAGTACTGTGAAGATGGGGTCGAAAAGAAGATAGTTGTTGATGATAAGTCCTTTACCGAGGCTGAATCATACTTTGCCGACGAAATTCTACTTTAAGAATTACGTCTCAAAGGAGATTAAGGTTGATGATGTGATGAAGACCGGAAGTGATAACAAGAAGCAAGTAGAGAGCTCGTGGATCAAACACCGTAGATTTCTCTACAAGCTACAAGTTCAAGCACATGAGCTACAAGTTCAAGTTCAAGTTCAAGTTCAAGAACGAAGGCAAATCAAATACCAAGGCGTTCAAGATCAAATTACTTGTTCGTGGTCAAATCCAAATTCAAGTTCAAGAAGGTGATTCAAGACCAAGCTTTACAAGCCCTTGAATCAAATCAAAGTCAAGCTCATTAAGATATTTTAAATTCTTGAAGAATCGGAGGAATACTATAGAGATTGTAACACTCAATATTTATTGAAATCAAATACTACATTTGTTACGCAATTTTCCAGTCATGATTATTTATTTTTCTTGATGAAAAAATTTGTTGTTACAAATTTCTAGCAACTTGTTGTTAGTGAATATTTCAAGACTAGAAAATTGTGTAACAAATGTAGTATTTAATTTCAATAAATAATGAGCGTTACAATCTATATGGTATCCCTCTGATTCTTCAAGAACGTAAAGTATTTTGATGAGCTTGATTTTGATTTGATTCAAGGGCTTGTAAAGCTTAGTCTTGAATCTCCTCCTTGAACTTGAATTTGGATTTGATCAGGAACAAGTAATTTGATCTTGAATGCCTTGGTATTTAATTTGCCTTCTTTCTTGATCTTGAACTTGAACTTGTAGCTTGAGTGCTTGACCTTGTAGCTTGTAGTGAATTCTGCAGCGTTTGATCCACGGGCTCTCTGCTTGCTTCTTGTTATCACTTCCGATTTGTTATCCATAATTCGAGGGCCTTTGCGGCGTACTTCTCGAACGTTGGATGATATGCATCTACTTGATGTATTTGAGGATCAAGAAGCTTGTAGCAGCACACCATTTGGATCTTGAATGTTGCTAGAACTTCGAGTAAGACATATTTGACATGTCTTTGATCTCTTAATGAATATTTCAAGAGTTTATGGAATTTCGGAGAACGTATATTTGATCTCTTTGTGCATATTTCGAGAGTATATGAAATTGCTGAGATCGTCTTTGAAGAATATATGTAGCCTTATACTCCAACTTTTATTGGGGCGATGATAGCAAAAAGAGGGAGAAGTGCATCAGTAGCCACTTTTAAACCCGCTCTTTAGAATATATTCATAATTTACAATGTATTTAAAGATTATTCATTTTACCTAAACTTCAAGACTAAGTATCTTGAATTTGAAAATAAGGATCTAGTATCCTGAATTTTTGAGGTGCTAATTTAAAATTCAGGACATCAGAGCCGAACTTTCTGGACACAATTTTCGAACTTTAGGACACCATGTCCTAAAGTTTGAATTTTGTGGTTTAAACTTCAGGGCGTCATGTCCTGAAAGTTTGAGCGAATTAGCTAATCTTTAAATACCTCGTAAACTGTGAAAATATATTAAAGGACATGCTTAAAATGGCTACCTGGTGTAATTTTCACGCAAAAAGATTGGAGCAGGCTGACCCAAAATCATATATATAGGCACAAGAGCTCACCCATCGCCATAAAATTCTTCAAGCTCAATAAAATCAAAGCACAAAAATCTAATAATATTGGGGCAAAGATCACTTTTAGCCCGCGGCCAATAAGGGGGTGTGTGTGTGTGTTTATACAAAAATATGTATATACTCTTCGGCTATTATTTTAAGAGCGGTTATATAATATATTCTTTTTATAATATTACGAAGTCCCAAAAAGCCATATTATTAATAATTAGGACCTGTCTCTCATCTTGGTAATATTTGAAATACCCATTGAAATTATTGTTCAAAAGATTACAATGTCCAATTAAAACCCACCATTAGCAGTGAATCCACCATCAGCCCATATAATCTGGCCCGTAATGTAAGAAGCAGCAGGAAAGCAAAGGAAAGCTATTAGTGCAGATATCTCTTCGGGCTTTCCAGGCCGGCCCATTGGAGTTTTGACAATAAAATGATCTACGTCTTCCTTTTGCTGAGTATTTTTCTGCAATCAAAGAGATTATTAGAAAAGTAGACAAATAAAGTGTCACGACCCAATTTAGGATTGTGACCGGCGCTTAGGAATAAGTGCTCCCAAGTAAGCCTCATCGGTAATTTTACAGAAAATCGGACAGAGTTTCCCCTATTTTTGGACCATCCCAAAATTTTTCCTGTCTCAAATCAACAACCAAACATCCTAATATTATACCAAACAATTGACAACTTGTCAATTAACCAATACAAGTCTCCACCATAACTAAACCACCAACTAACCACTAGAATACTAATTTATCTCCAACTTTGATAAATGAGAATACTCAACATAAGACTATAATAACAAAAGAATACTCACGACACTAAAATAATGACTATGGAGCGACTCTAAGAGTTCAATGAAAAGATCATAACAATAAATAAAATCTCTGCCCACGCGAACAAGTGCGAGGCTCATCGAGAAATATCAACCTGTGCGCTCTAATTAACAAAAACTCCTCGCCT